CTTCTTGTCCCTAGAGTGGGCTTTGAATTGAAATTTTGCAGTAATATGGGAGTTAAGTCATAAAATGTAAATCATTGAAATTTTGATGTTAAAAATATCAAATGTGAAGCTATTACTTCTTGATGTATTACTTCTTTACATACTTCTCAAAGTGATCCTGCATATCGCTAATTCTTTCACAAGTGATTCTGCACACTTTGGTTTACACATCAAAATGGCACTTTTGGCTACTTCTGTAAAGATTACAGTGTCATAAACCCACAAGGGCAGGTCTACCCTGTCCTGGACGGTCACTAGGAGGCAGATCAACCTGATGGATGTGAGTTGTAGGATTCAAATTGTGATGTTTTCTGTGTTCTTTGAGTCTTAGGAATCAGAGAATCCTAAAAAGACAAGATCAGGCTATCGGTATGTCAGGTGAGGTTTGCCAGTGAAATCCTTATCAGTAGTCCTTGCTACCCTCAAAGAACAAGCAAGTGCATTGCCATGATCAGATATAAAAATAAAACAACTCAAACAAAATCTGTAGGAGCAATTTTCCTGGCCTCTGTCTTACCATTGCAATTTGAAGTTTCCCTACCATATAGATTAATGTATATGATGAGTTTTTCAGCACATTTTTTAATGCAGTTTTTGTGGTAAAATTAGGGCATCGGCTGATATGCTGGTCGGCTTATACTTAAGTATATAAGGTAAATCATTTTCATAATAAGTCCCCATGATCATTCCATGTTTTTCAAGAAAATATTCTAAGACTACCCCTTTGATATCTCAAAGAACTTTCATCATAGCTTTCTGAACTATCTTCTTTGCCTTGAATTTAACTGACCCATTAGATTTCCTCTAGAGTCACTATTTTTGATTGGAGATTTTATTGACGGTGTTTTACTGAGAGAATGTGTCTGCAGCCATCCACCGATCACAGAGATTTAGCTTTTTAAAAATAATACAGAGTATTTCTGAGGTTCTCATGAGTACCAGTGTACTAAGCTTTGTCTTGTCTGCTACTGTATCCTTTAAGCTAGTATTAAAAAAAAAATCTGATTGTCTAAATGTCAATCATCTAAGTAACACAGAGTACCAAAGGAATGACGTTAATGATGTAAAGCTGCAAACTCTGAACAAACATATTTTATTGTTTTAGGAAAGAACTGATATTCCCTAGATATAACTTTTCTTTATGTTTAAGAAGATATATTATGTGTTAAATATATATGAATGTATTCTGTGGTACAGATGAGGAGCTCTGGTGGCATAGTGAGTTCCATGCTGGGCTGCCAACTACAAGTTCAGCAGTTCAAAACTGCTAGCAACTCCATAGGAGAAAGATGAGGCTTTCTACTTCTATAAAGATTTACAATCTCAGAAACCTACAGAGGCAGTTCTACTCTGTCCTATAGGGTCGCTATGAGTCTGTAACAACTCGGTGGCAGTGACTTTGATGGTAACAGATGCATGCCTTTATTTCAATGTGGGTGGGGATCAAGATATACAATCTATTTCACTGAAAGGATTTTAAAATGAAATGTTGGAAATACAAACAATATTCACCTAAGAGATTTCCTCTTTTGCTTTTAGTTCTGATTCAAGAAAATTTTTGTCTTTGGAATTTAATGTAGCTCTTTAAAAATGTTCTGTTCTTTGTTTAATCTGCAAACTTAATATAATTGAATATTCTGAGGCTGCCTCTTTAAAAACTGAAAAAACTCCCACTCTAATATACTTTGCTCAATATGCTTTGTAGTTTTTATCACTGTGTGTGTCTTAATGAAACTCCAAAATCATCTTAAAGCTAAATTAATTTAAAGGTAAAATAATATTCTTCCACTATGCAGGACCTTTGAAGGGAAGTCATTAATTCTCTTATATAATTGAATTTAGCTCCTCATATTTTATCTTAGGTCTTCTTAGGAACACAAATTAAGAAAATGTATGAATAGATTTCTTATTTAATTTAAAAAATATTATTATCTTATAATAGCACTATGGTAATACCAGACACAAATATGGCAAAATAGGTTAATCAAATAGGTTGTCATTGCAAGTTGCTGATCCGTCTATAGGTACAGAGGCTGATAAAGGCTGTGAGCAAGGATAACTACATTTCCCTAGTTTCTAGTACCTTAAAAAAATTCAGTTGACAGATAAATGTTGCTGAAAAGGTGTTCACCTGCTCATTCCATCATTCAGCAAATATTAATTTAATTTGGACATTGGTAGGTACTCTTCTATTATTAGTTATAAATTGGTGAACAAACCAGACAACACAACTATTCTCATAGCTCTTCTAGGGCAAGCAGCTATTTTTAATACTTTAGTACATGAACATGGTGACATCAGGTAGGTTCAGTATCAACAGAAACTAGAACAAGCTAGAGAGAGACTGAGAATTTAGGGTTCAGTTAGATTGAAGAGCCAAGGAAGTCTCATTTCAATTGAGAACTT